GTTGTTGTCTTCTTTTATTCTCTGTGGGTATTACTCTTGATTCTCAAAGGGGAGGCATGCATGGCAAGCATTAATTGTTTCTGTTGTGTCATGACAGATTCTTGATAATGGATATGCCTATTGTGTTGATGGTGATGTGTACTTCAATGTGGACAAATTTCCAGAATATGGACTATTATCAGGACGAAAATTAGAGGATAATCGAGCTGGGGAGCGGGTTGCTGTGGACTCCAGGAAGAAGAACCCTGCTGATTTTGCATTGTGGAAGGTCAATCTAGTTGCCTTGTACTATTGTTAAGTGTTGCAACTGCCTAATCAATGTAACAGACAAAGATAAACACAGCACTTCAAAATTGTATGATGATTCGCCCTACCTATCTTTCACACATCTGTGTCCTGTTTATGTATTATTATTGAAGTCCTGTGCTATCATGCAGTCTGCAAAGGAGGGGGAGCCATTTTGGGAAAGTCCATGGGGTCCTGGAAGGCCTGGATGGCATATAGAGTGTAGTGCCATGAGTGCAACATATCTGGGGTATTCTTTTGATATACATGGTGGAGGGATGGATCTTGTCTTTCCTCACCATGAAAATGAAATTGCTCAGAGTTGTGCCACTTGCAAAACGAGTAATATAAGCTACTGGGTGCATAATGGTTTTGTGACCATCGACTCGGAGAAAATGTCTAAATCTCTTGGGAACTTTTTCACCATTCGGCAGGTAGATTCAAATCCTTCATTCTGACTTCCCCTTTTCCTTCTTTTATTTTCCTTCATCTTTTTAAACAATTATGGAAATCTGTTGCAGGACTGATTTTTGTTGTTTCATGTTATTACTATAAATTTCCAGGTAATAGATCTTTACCATCCACTGGCTTTGAGGCTTTTCTTATTGGGAACACACTATCGTTCTCCAATCAACTACTCTGATTTCCTGCTTGAAAGTGCTTCAGACCGCATTTTTTACATCTATCAGGTACTATAACATACAATTTTTTCTTGTAATTATCTTTGACACATCTCGATTACTCTCATAGGGTTGTAGCATAGAATTTTCATGGTGAGAAAATATAGTTATACAGCCGTTGCAACTGTTATCATCACTAAGGTAGACACTTGCAAGAACATGTGTAGGCTGTGTCACAATTGCACTTTTCTTGACAGCGAATTTTGCGATTGTGCGGCATTCACTCCCAACACCGAGTGAGTTAAGCCAACTTGAATTCGCGTTGCCTACAGCCTGGCAATGTATGCACCTCTGGCCCCGTTTGAGAAGAAGGTTTTAGAATCAGGGGCAGAGAGATTTTCGAAAGCGAGTTTGAAAGTAAGAATGAGAGAAGATTTGAAAGCAACATTATATAACTATAAGCAAAAGACAACACAACGACTTAAATAACATATAACTTTCTAGGTAGGGAGATTTTGACAACTAGTCGCATCCCCCTACAGTACATTTTGAGGTGATTTAGATCTGGCAAGCCTAGACGTGATTTCGCCGAACGGTCATACAAAATCAAGGGGAGGAGTTTACAACTAGTCACACCCTCTAATAGTACATTTTGAGGCAATTTAGGTATGGCATGCCTAGACATGATTTTGCCGAGTAGTCGTACAAACGGAGAATATAATAGTAATACAATACAACATAAAATTAAATAAAGGGTTCAGCATGGCATAAGCATGCGGCCACGGGAAACACACCCTGGACAAGCATGACCATGCTATTTCAATATGTACAAATATCACTCGCATAAATTTGATCTGCAAGTTATTCTGAGGTAGAAATGGATTCATGTCACTGTATTCAAATCCTGTAACATTTTTGGGGACTTGACTTATGAACCTCACTTTTCAGAAACGGATAATGGCGAACACTTTTTTTTTTTTTTTTGGTTAACACAGGCTCTGGGACAGCTGAAGGAAAAGGCTTTGACACGTGCGAAGATGACGAACGAACAAGTAGTACAGAAAATAGAAGAAAGGAATGCAGCAAGAAAGAATAAGGAGTATGAAAAATCCGATGCAATCAGGAATGATCTAGCTGGTGTTGGAATTACTCTCATGGATGGCCCAAATGGAACAACTTGGAGACCAACTATTCCTCTTGCACTTCAAGAACACCAGTCTGCTTCAACTTGAATGATTTCTCGTCCAAGAACACCATTTTTGCTTTGTAAGAACAAATATCCTTCCATTTCTTCCTTTTTTCTTTTCGTCTTTTTTCCCATTCCTTTAAAAAATGGCTGTTCCCATGAAGCTTTTGTGTCTTTATCTTCTCGTCTTAGAAACTCATATTTTTTTAACATTTGAAAGCAAAACCCATTAAGCCTCTTAACTTGTATCTTTGATGGGATGAATCATTTTCAGGTAATTGCCAGTGCTCTATGAGTGACTTCAACAAAGTCAGCCAATCCTTGGAGCAAATCCCATTTCCTTCACTTATGCTTGGGATGATCCGTTCCCTTTCCAGGTCACTCTCTCATTTTCAAACTAAAAACTACGTGAGGTCGTAAAAGGAAGTTCTAGAAGATATTGGAGTCATTTTCCACGTGTTGTACAAAGTTGAGCTTCAAGATGAAGGTACATGAAATGCATTTTAACTTGCATATAATGAACTCTTAGTTAAACTTATGGAACTTAGTCCGTGGATAGTTACTAGGTGACATATTTCTTTCCTTGCATTATTTTAATTGTCATTTCAATTTTTTTTTCTTTTATCATTTAAGTTAACCGTTTTAATATGGAGGTTACGAGTATATTTAACTCACATAGGTTAAGGTTGTCAAAGGCTACATAAAGTCTTCATTTCTTTCATTGTAGACATCCAATTTTTTAATTGAAAAGAATCGAGTTTGGATTTTAGATTTATCGAGAGTTAATCTTTTCACTTTGTGCAAATTCTTGTGTTTTAGGACTTTCATGCTATAAGTCATTTAAGTGATGTTTCATCAAACCTCTTATGGAGTAACTCGAATTACGAGCTTTCTTTATTCTTGATCTTGATCATCAAAATAATTTGTTTCAAAACTTTCTCTAGGGTTATTGAATAATTTAGATCTAAAGTCTTATAAGTTTCATAACACATGTCAGCGTATCAAAGTGCTTTTGTGATAATAATGACGATATAAATAGAAAGTTGGATGTAAACCCTCTTTGAAAGCTGTGATGGAATAAATTCTATAAAGTGTTCAATCGAAATTCTCGTTTCTGGTGTCAAGATGATTAGGTCAATCCAAAAAAAAAAAAAAAAAAAATAGATGGATCCTATGAAGATGATTCTTCATTAAAATAATTTTAATAATTCTTTTGGATCGATATATATTTTATCAATAGGTCCATCTGAAAAATTTAAATTCTAATATCAATATTTTAATCGTGGTCACAAGAGCTTGATGTGATCCTCTTGAATTTCAATTGGGCCTTGATGGAAACCATCGATTGGGCCAAATATACGTAAGGCCCACAGTGTTTTATGGGCCTCCTTTTTTGCCAGTTAGGCCCACAAATATTCCTGGGCCCCACTTTCTCTGGTCTCCTTTAGCAGTGAGAAAACAAGCCGAAAAAGGTCAAATATAGAGGTTTGAAAATCAGGACTCAATTGTCAGAAAGGACAAGTTTTGTCAGATTTCGAAAAATTCTTATAATTTAATATTGCCTGGGGAAACGGGACTGGTGCATTATTTTTATAATATTACGTCACACGTGTATAAATTCATATTATGTATTTACTAAATTATATTTAAATTTATATTATTTTATAATTACGTTTATTTATCCAAATGATTAAAGTCCGACGTCGACTAATTTAAGGAATGCTCATGGATTTATTGGATGATGAAAGTCCCAGGTAATTTAGAGAATGCTCATGGATTTATAATCAAGTGATACTCTCTTCATTGGTATGAGGCGTTTTGGGAAGCCCAAAGCAAAGCCATGAGAGCTTACGCTCAAAGTGAACAATATCATACTATTGTAGGGAGTCACGTTCGTCTAACATAGTATCAAAGCCATGCCCTAAACTTAATCATGCCAATAGATTGGTAAATTCTCAAATATCGAACAAAGAAATCAAGTCTCCTCGAAAGCATAATAAAAAATGACTAAGACTTCAAAAGAGTCGAGTCTCAATTAAGGGGAGGCGTACTTTGTTCGAGGGGAGGTGTTGGATGATGAAAGTCCCACGTCAGCTAATTTAGGGGATGCTTATGGATTTATAATAAAGGAATTTATGCTTAAAAGGGACAATATCATACTATTGTTGGGAGTCGTGTTCGTCTAACAACTACGAGGTTAGAATTTTCTATATTAAAGCAAATAGTTAATATATTAATTAGACAACATATTTAAGCATAATTTAATAATAAAAGCATTTATTTAATTTATTACGTCAAAATTCTAATATTTACTTTGCATTTTTTTTTTTGGGTATAAAAATCAATTAAAGTTAATATTACAATTAAGAATAAAACAATAATATATATTGGTCCGTGTAATTTTATATTTAAAAATAAAATATAAATAAATAAAAAGCCGAAACGAGAGGCGGAATTGGTGGGCCTTATTGGGCCTTCGCGTACTCCAAAGATCAGACAAACTCAAAAAGCAAACATTCATCGGATGTTGTGCCTGTGTGGGACCCACCATTTTGAATCTCCTCTGGGCCGCACTTCTCATCCACCTGGCCCAATTCAATCCTCATCTTTTTCTGACATAAATGCCCCTGCCTTTCCCGCCTTCTTGCCTTTTTGATGGGACATTAATTTAATTTTAAGCTTAAAATTACAATTTTGTCCTTTTTATAATTATGCTAAATTAAAAATTTTAATAAATGTTTTAAATATTATATTTGTCAATATACTTCAACTATTTTCTATATATAATAATTTTTTTTATTATTTTTAATAAATGTTTTAACAACGGACGGAAGGGCAATTTCGTCATGAAAAAATTTCAACCATTACGAGTGTGGGACAGCAGAGAAATTAAGAGCACCCAAATGAAACTAAAATAATCAGAAGCATCCAACGTTTCGTTATTCCTCCTCGCAACCGTTTTCAGTTTCCGGCCACCGGCGAGCACCAAGAACAGCTCAACCCGGTAACTTACCTCTCTTCAACCACGAAATGCCACGTCACTGTTCGCCGCCATTTTCAGTTCTAGCTGCATTTTCACTCTGCTATTCCTCTGCTCTATTTCCCCTCTCCCATGGCGGTTCTCAACCTCCCTTCTCTCAAATTCCTTCCATCTCAGGTACTCACTCACAGTTTCTTGGTCACTTTTCGAAAATATAACGTGTTTAGAGAAAAGGGTTGTTTGGATTTTGCCCTTTTTTGCCGTTTTTCTTCTTTTTATGGCTATCTTTTTGTAGAGTGGAGAAATGAAGACTATTATTCTGGTGGGGAGCTTGGTTGGGGAAGTCCTAAGGGGTCTGTTGCTGAAGGGCCTGTAATGGAGCCTGTTGAGCACTCGTTGTTTGTGTTGGCAGCTGAAAGAACTCGAAGAAAAGATCCTCTTAGTGGGTTTCAAGTTTATACTAATGGGTGGAATATCAGTGACCGACATTATTGGGCTGTAAGTTTGTTCCTCCAACTCAGTTTCTTGATGAAATTTTGATATGTGTTGGTTTTCTTATGGGAATTTGCCTTCTAAGGGCTGTATTTGATTGAGAATGTGATTGAATGGCTATTTAACTTTGGTTTTGTTGGTTGTTAAAGATGTGGAAACTTGGAGATGGGGCTGTTTTGTATGAGCTAAGCAAGCATATAAGAGGTTTAGTTTGTATCATTTGATAAATGGTTACTTCTAGCGTTTTTCTAGGGGAACAACGTCGATTGGAGAGGGGAATGAGTGCTAGTGAGGACGTTGGGTTCTGAAGGGGGTGGATTGTGAGATCCCACATCGATTGGAGAGGGAAATGACATCGATTGGTGAGGAGAACGAGTGCTAGTGAGGACACTGGGCCTTAAAGAGGGGTGGATTGTGAGATCCCACATCTCTGGGAGAGGGGAACGACATTGATTGGAGAGGAGAATGAGTGCAAGTGAGGATGCTGGGCCTTAAAGGGGGGTAGATTGTGAGATCCCATATCGTTTGGAGAGGGGAATGACATCGATTGGTGAGGAGAAACTAGTGCTAGTGAGGACACTGGGCCTTAAAGGACGGTGGATTGTGAGATCCCACATCGATTGGAGAGGAGAATGAGTGCTAGTGAGGATGCTAGGTCTCGAAGGAGGGTGAATTTTGAGATCCCACATTGATTGGAGAAGGGAATGACATCAATTAGAGAGGGGAATGAGTGCTAGTAAGGACGTTGGGCCTTAAAAGGGGGTGGATTATGAGATCCCACGTTGATTGGAGAAGAGAACGAAACATTCTTTATAAGGGTGTGGAAACCTCTCCCTAGTAGACACGTTTTAAAACTTTGAGAGGAAGCCTAAAAGGAAAGGTCAGAAGACAATATCTGCTAGCGGTGGGTTTGGACGTTTACATTAATCTTAATCTTCAACAATATAATATGCATTGTGAATAATCGTTCTTGAATGAGTTACTCATTTTAGTTTTACTAGCTTACTTCTTAAGTAAAGTACATGGTATGCAATGCTTCTCTGTTTTGCTGTGACTCTCCCAAGTTTACTCGTTTTCTCATATTTCGCATCCTTTTCATGATCGATCAATCGATCATAGACGACGTTTTTCCCGATAGTTCTATGCATCTCTGTTCTTACTCCGTGCTTCTTGATTTGGATACAGTCTGTTAGCTTCACTGCAGCTCCATTGTTTGCTGTTGCTGCAGCCTGGCTCTCGGGGTTCGGCCTTTGCTTATTCGTCGTTTCTCTTTGTTACTTCTGTTGCGAAAAACGCTCATACAGCTATTCTCGAACCGCTTATGCTCTTTCACTTCTCCTCCTCATTATGTTCTCCATTTCAGCAATGTGAACATCTTGCCTTTCTCTCTTCCACTTGTTCTGTATTTGGCTCAAAAAGCTTATGCATCATAATCTTGTATTTTCAGCATTGGTTGTGTCATTTTATACACTGGACAAGGAAGGTTTCACAATAGTTCATCAAAAACATTGGAATATGTTGTAAGTCAAGCGGATTTCACTGCTCGAAAGCTTCGGGATGTATCGGATTACTTTGCTGCAGCCAAGCAAACCGGAGTCGATCAAGTGTTCTTGCCTTCTGATGTTCAAACCGATATCGATCAAATCGAGATAAAGATCAACTCTTCTGCTAGTGTTCTTGATGAAAAAGCTGTTCATAACTCAAATGACATAAAAGATCTCCTTGATTCTATGTATGTTTAGGCTTCACTGATTCTTTTCTTGTTCATATGTTCCTCGTAATTCGATCATGAGCTGACGATTTTCGGACATTGCAGTCGTCTGGCTCTGATAATCGTGGCGGCGATCATGCTTTTGTTGACGTTTCTTGGATTTTGTAAGCTCTTTTCTAGCTCTTTGCTATGCTATTTAGTTTGATTCTTACTCAGTTTAGTATGGTTTAACGTTTTGGCTGCAGTGTTCTCCATATTTGGTATGCAAGTTCTTGTGTACATGTAAGTAAGGTATTTGAAGTTTTGTTGTTCATTTCTTTACTTCATTGCCTTAAGAAGGTGTTGTGATGATTCTCTATTGCAGCCTGGTGATAACTGGTTGGTTACTTGTCACCGGGACGTTCGTCTTATCTGGCACGTTTCTTGTTCTTCACAAGTAAGTCGTGTTTATTCGATCTTGTGCTGCAAATACTTGAAGTGATGTGAGTTTCTGTATAATGTCTAAACGTTTTTCGTTGATTGAAATGCTTCTGTGAGATCCCATGTCGGTTGGAGAAGGGAACGAAGTTGTTCTTTTATATGGGTGTGGAAACTTTTCCCTAGCAGACGCTGTGAGATCTTATGTCGGTTGGGGAGGAGAACGAAACATTCTTTATAAGGGTGTGGAAACCTCTTCCTAGCATACACGTTTTAAAAACCTTGTGGGGAAGCTCAAAAGGGAAAGTCCAAAGGGGACAATATATGCTAGTGGGACTTAGGCTGTTACAAATGGTATCAGAGCCAGATACTGGGCATTGTGTCAGCGAGGAGGCTGAGCCCCGAAGGGGGTGGACACGAGGCGATGTGCTAGCAAAGACGCTGGGTCCCCAAGGGAACTGGATTGAGGGAGTCCCACATCGATTGGAGAAGAAAACACGTGCTAGCGAGGACGTTGGGCCCTGAAGGGGGGTAGGGGGGTTCCACATCGATTGGAGGAGGGAATGAGTGCCAGTAGGGATATTGGACCCCCAAGAGAGGTGCATTGTGAGATCCAACATCGGTTGGGGAGGAGAATGAAACATTCTTTATAAGAGTATGGAAACCTCTCCCTAGTATACACGTTTTACGAACCTTGAGGGGAAGCTCAAAAGGGAAAGCACAAAGAGGACAATATCAGCTAGCGGCGAGCTTGGGCCGTTACAGACGCGTTTTCAGAACTTTGAGGGGAAGCCCGACAGGAAAAGCCTAAATAGGACAATATCTGCTAGCGGTAGGCTTAGGCTGTTACCGCTTTATTCATATACTTGAACTACAGTGAATTTCTATATAAAGTCCAAATATCTTATTGCTTACAAAACGGTAACCCGTTTCCCTAACGAATTCAAATTACGAGTTCATAGACACTAAAACCTGATATCGTTTTCGATTCGATATGTAGTGTGGCTGCAGATACTTGTGTTGCAATGGACCAATGGGTCCAGAATCCGAGCGCCCACACGGCCTTAGACGACATTCTTCCTTGTGTCGATAAAGTGACTGCTCAAGAAACCCTGGTAAAAAGCAAGGAAGTGAGTGCACAACTCGTCGATCTGATCAACGAGGTGATCACCAATGTCTCGAACATAAATTTTTCGCCGAACTTCAAACCGATGTACTTCAACCAATCCGGTCCCGTTATGCCAACGCTCTGTAACCCGTTTCACCATCCGGACTTGACACCGAGAGCTTGCTCTTCCGGTGAAGTAGACTTGCAAAATGCTACACAAGTAAGCCATAGGATAGGCTTCTAAAGTTCATTCTAAAATAGATGCCTTACTTATCATCTTCTTATCTTCATTGAACAGGTATGGGGCAGCTATGTCTGCCAAGTTTCGCCTACCGGTGATATATGCATCACGACGGGGCGATTGACTCCGAGCTTATACAGCCAGATGACGAGCGGAGTCAACTTAAGCTATGCGCTATCGAACTACGGTCCTACATTGGTCGAGCTCCAAGACTGCACGTTTGTTCGTCAAACGTTCGATGACATACATAGACAGTACTGTCCTGGTTTACAACAATACAGCAGATGGGTGTATGTAGGATTAGCAACCGTCTCCATTGCCGTTATGCTGTCTCTGATACTATGGATTATATACGGTCGAGAGCGGCGCCACCGTGCTTATACGAAAGGACTAACTACTAAACCAACCGGGGAAGAGTGGGAGGGAAACAAAGAATCTTGAAAACTGCAAGTGTATGATTATTTCTACTGATATCGAACGATCGACTTGTACTTTTTTCGTGTAACACGAATGTAGTATAATATGGCGAGATTGGCTTCAATGTCTAGACCTATCTTTCGTGCATTCACAACCGATACCGCTGTGTTAGCCAGCTTGGTTCTATGCTGTTGGTATGCATTGCAGGGAGTTCAAGACGGGACGAGCGACCGGTACGAATGGCGGTTTGGAAACGGAGTCTACGAAAGGTTGGTTATTACATAGTTTGGTAAAAGTGTGAGAGGGTAAGTTTTTTTTTTTTTTTTTTTTTTTTAAGATAATAATGAAAAATTTTAAAGTTTAGAAATTATGTAAAGATATTAATAATACACTAATTTAAATAAATATCATTTATTAAATTAAAATTTTTAATTAATATGTACTTTTATAATGGTTGGACTGTCACCAATTAGAAGCAAGAAAAATCTTTAGAGTTGCATAACGTGGAGCTCAAGCAATGGATACCGTGATGACAACGCCGGTGGCTCTAGCATTTCCTCATACGATGGCAAAATTGAAATAATGACTCTGAAAAATGGTTTTCTTGTACTTTTACATGTGTTTCATGAGAGGTATCTTAACACGTGGCAGATTCTCCTTCTCCTAAAAGTTGGATAAACGCCCCCCATCTTCGTCTTCTTCCTCCTCTACCAGCCGTTGGATCAAGAATCCCAACGGTCCTTTAACCCTACCATGGTTGTGTCAACTGACTCAACTTCTTTCTAGAATTACCCCTTGTTATGCGGTTAATTACATCTTTACCCTGTTTTCTCGGATCTATAAAACTGGCCTGTGCAATTTGTTGGGTTTGCCAAACTAACGCCCTGAGGGGCCCCTTGGAGGGTAAAGAATACTCGAGGCTTCTTCTTTTTCTCTCTGATGGTGACTTCTTCTTCGAAAACCAGATCCACCGGCCCGGTGCACCGATCACAGTCGCCGGGCGGACGGTTCTGTAACTCCCCGGCGCTGTCGTCTTTTACGTCGGCGTTTGCTTCATCCACTAGCTTAAACTTTTACTCGCATTCTTCTACTTTCCGTTCCGTTGATCACCGCGATTTCCGCAGCCACCATCATCATCGTCGATGCACCTCCCCTAGCCGTGTTAATGTTTTTTCGTCTCCTTCTCTTACTTCTTCTGTCCGTTTTTTCGTTGATAACCGTTCGATTTCTCCGAATCGGTCCGTTATTGTTTCGAGGAAAAATCATCCGGCGTCTAATGTTAAGAGGACCTGTATGTGCTCTCCGACGACGCATCCAGGATCGTTCCGGTGTAGTTTTCACAAAAACGTCTCGAGTAGCGGCGGCCATAGCCAGACGGTGTCGTTTCCTTCAATCAGGTTAAATATGCGGAGATCGGCTATGGCCAACTCGCTCGTTCGAATCGGCGGTGTGGAAGGAGAGTTGGTGAAGCGAGCATTGACTACTTTGATTCGGCCTTCGTCGCACCAGCAGAGGAGGATAGCGGCATTTATACCTAGATCAAGTCGGCTCGCTGTCATGTCCAAGGTTGACGATGCTTGAATTTACAGCAGAAGATACGGTGATGCCTAAAACTTTATGATCTCAGGTTCGTTGAAGAGCATCAATTTGTGAACGGTTCTGGTTTAGAATTATAGCCGAAAAGAAAACACACCACACGAAGTTGCATAATCGTTCAAAGCAGTATCTGTAGTGAAATTCATTAGATTCAGAATTTGTGACTCGGAAGCAGGACTACTGAGTCGACTGGCCGAGTGTTGTTCGCAGGCTTCGTGGTTTTTTGGCAGAGGATTGAAGAAGAAGAAGAAAAAAAAAAACGAACGAACTTACACCTTTGTACATACAACATTGTTTGCTGTGGAAGGAGAAATTCAGACATTTTTACTTCGAATTGAAACCAAACGAAAGCAAAACAAAATTCGAAGATTAATTTCAACAACCTGCAACCGGCATCAATTTGAAAATGATTTATAACACCGTTGGATGATGAGAATTGTGACCTGCTCAATTCCGTTCTATGTGCAGCCTTGGGCTTCCGTGTGTGCCGCCATCGTGATCTGCTCCGATGATCGTGATTTTCGTCCACGTCGTTTCACGTGGTTCCGCTTAATCCGTCCCGTTCATTCCGGTGCCAGGTATTTATTTCTTTACTTTTGCTATGATTCGTTTATTTAGTTGGTGCAGGACGTGCCGCTGGGTGAAATAAAGTCGTCACGATTCAGGCGCTGAGTTTCTTTCAACTCTAAAACGAAACTTACGAAGAAGATGAATGTTAAGATATTAATAAATTAAAATTTATTATATATATCATATTTCATATTTTATTATAGACCAACATTTAGATATTTGCGTTCTATTTTTTTTTTAATTACTATTTTTATATTTTATAATTTATTAAATAAATATAATAAATAGAAATAAGTGTTAGAGGAAAGTCTAATTTAAGAATGATGTTGAGTTTATAATCCATTGAATGATCATGGATTTATAATCCATCATTATCTAAGTTACTAAAGACTCTCAATCCAATAAATATGGTTTATGTTTGGGTTATCAACCAATTTGAATTTGATTGATTTCAAATAAATGAAGATTTATAGGTTAGGTTAGTTGGTTTTTTTTTTTTTTAATATTATTTTTATAAGATTTATAATTTTATTATAATTTGTTCTATTATTTATTCTCTTTGACTTTACTTCTAATGAGCTCATTAAGCCTAGTGATTTTTTTGGGGTTTTATGTGCTTGAAATAATTTAGTGGGCCCAAGCCACGTGTCCAATTCTCCAGAGGCAGTTATTGTAAACTTCTTTTGCAGAGTGACAGTCGGTGTAACTTTATCATCTCTCGTAACCGCTTTCTTTATATAAATATCACCCCGCCCATTTTTTTCTCTGTTGCTTGACTATTCTTTCGAGAGAAGAAAAGAAACAGAGAAATGGGTTTGGGCATCAATTGTTCATCTTCAGTAGTTCTCCTTCCTCGAGCTCCCGATTCGAATTCCTTTGATTCTTCGAAAGTTGCTCGATTGTCTGCGTAAGTCTCAATTAACTTCATCGCGATGGATTTCACATGCAAAGACGGATCAATCTGTTCTCTGTTCTTCAACTTTTTTCCTCGATCAATCGATTAAGATTTCTTGTTTTACTACAGGAAGGACGATAGAGGAACGTGGAGAATCAGAAGTCGATGCGCTTTAGGTTTAGCGAGCTTGATTCTCGCAATCGAGTTCGGTGACGTCTCCGTCGCCGTTGAAACTCAGGCTCTCGAATCGCCGCCGCAAGTTGTAGATTCGAGGCGTGTAAAGATCTCGAGATGGAGCGACAAAAGAAAATGCGCTCAATGGCGAGCCAATTCGCTCGAGATTATCGTGCCTGAGAACCTTCCGAGGCCGTCGCAGCGCCGGAAGTGGGAGACAATAGCATTTACGGATGTGGAGAACGCACCGGCAGTTCAAGTAATTTCTTCCAAATTTGGCTCCAAGTACTGTTTCTCTTTATAAATATCTATTGCCTCGCCTAGACTCAATTGTAGATACTAGCTTCTAAGTCGATTTTATCAATCACTTCAATGGCTATTCGATGACTGCTATTATTGATCAACGTGAATAATTTTCTTTCAACACAAAATTGAACATAAGATTTGAAATGAATAACTGTAGTACAGATTGGCTCTATTCAGGAGGCGTAGTTGTAGTACATGCAGTACAGCATGAATATTAGAAATTACAAAAGTTGGGCGATCTTTCACTTTTGTTCGTTATTGCAAGACGTCCAGACCTAGGCAGCCCAGTGATGTTTGGGCCGCTGCTCTGAACTACAATACCTAAACAAAGGAAATAAAATAAAGATTGGTCAATTTAATGTTTTTTTCAGTCCAATTGTCTTAGTGAATTGAGTTCTGGTCGAACCCGCCCAATCCAACTAAGAAGAACCAAACGTGACAGACACATTTTTTTCCTTTTGAGAGAGTACTCCGAGTAGTAGTTAACTTGTCATACCTCAATCCGCCTACTCGAGTCTTATATGAATATGCAGGAAGGAGTGCTCCTAGGTGTGTGTAGGTGTTGTGTTTGTTCGTGAGAATGGATTCCTCATCAAGTCAGGTAACGACTTAAATGATGAATTGTTATAGTTATAATAATCATTCCAAGTGTTTTTGGTTTTCTTTTAAGACATTCATAAGGATGTAGATGAGGCTTTTTCACCGTCTCATAAAATGCAAATATAATTGTAAAGATATCAATAAAAGTATAACTCAACAATGATTAATATAACGCTCATTTTGAGATTAAAAAAAATCCAAATAATAAAATTATAATTAAACAATTACATACAAAGTGAGATGAGTATATTTAGGGTTCGTTTGTTTCTCCTATAAAACCCTAATTCGTTTTAAATGAAAACTAGGGGGGTGGGAGATGTTGGCATGAAAGGATAAGAAGTACCATTTTACCCCTTTTCATATCAAAATGACCAAAATACCCTTGAAAAAAAGAGTCTTCATGATATGACATTGTATGCCCAAGTTTTCCACTGCTATTCACAATGGAATAACAAAGAAATATTTTATAGCAAGCAAGCAACCAACTAATAAGAGAAGCCCATCGCCTTAAGCAAGCAATTAACTGTTATGTATATATATATATATGATATGATATGCTAAAAAATAATAATAATAATAATAATGACAATGCTCATGAAACTGGACTTTGACACAACAATACTTTGTGTACTATAAATCTCTTTTATACCCTCTTTTTAAGTTTTGGCTACATGATGTGATGATCATCACCTGCAGCCAGAATGGTGGTTGCTCCAGAATGGCCCGGGCGGGATGGGGATGGAAAGATAAGCCATCGTCGCCTTAGAGAGCAATTGACTGTTGTTATTTTCAGAAAACAAGAAACCGACGACGACGACGACGAAAATGATATGATATGATGAGATTGGAACAGCAATCTTACAACTCAACTCCTCTCTTTTTCTACCGTTCAGCCTTCGGGTTTGCTATGCAAACGGGGGGTTCTCGAGTCTCTTTCGCTTGAACGCTGCGTGGACGATTGCCTACAGCTACAGCCAGAATGTTGGTGGTTTGTCAATTTATTATGCATACAAGGCATTAAAATGAACCTAATAATACAGATTGACATCATCAAGCTTGGAAGCAATTTCTAACAAAATAAGATCTTACTCTGCATCTTCAAAACCTGATAGCTGCAAAAACCAAGACCAACAATACCAATATATTTTGCTGTTAATCTGAACTTCTTTAAGTTAGAATCACCTGTTTGTGTCGAGATTAGAGTATCGCCAACTCCTCGACCGGTAGCTATCGTACCATGATATGCTTTAGCTGATTGCTGGTCACTAGATATACCAGTTACATTTAATTTAGGTGCTAAGGCTGTTGACCAAGAGCCCCCATTTGATCCAGCTAAGGCCATTATAATATCAGCCTGAAAAAACCCAGCAGCAACCACCAAGATTAATGAGTAATTAACAACAAAACAGAAATCCTACTTGAATGAACTCCAAAATTTTAGCTAAAAAATCTTCATTTAGGAGATCAAGCTCAAGATATGTACTCCCAAACGAAATATATTCTCGAACAAAGAACTAACATAATTTATGCATACTTCTTGACTTGTAAGTAACTGGTAGGTTACGAGTGTTACGAGTGTATGTTGTCATTTGCTCATCCGATTCAAAATTTTATCATAGCAAAAGTCGATAAGTTTGTATGAAGCATGAACAGCAAGCTTGTCAGTTCAAAAGTCGAAGCAAACATGAAGATACTATAATGAATACTTTTTTATTTAATACCCATGAGTGCCCGTGCCAGCTTGCATGCGCTTCGACTAATCTAAATTCTAGGTAAGTAGCTATCTTGGATCTATTCTCAATGAGCTCTTTATTATTCTAATGACCCTTATTGCCATATGGAAAGGTACCTTGTTGAACATACTAAATTCTAGTTTGTTGAAGCATGAACGGCAAGCTTATCAGTTCAAGAGTCGAAGCAAACATGAAGACACTATAATGAATACTTTTTTATTCAATACCCATGAGTGCCCGAGCCAGTTTGCATACACTTCGACTAATCTTACAGACACATTTGGTTGTCGAGGAATCTCCTAGCATGCTAAATTCTAGGTAAGTAGCTATTTTTGGATCCGTTCTCAATGAGCTTTTTATTATTCTAATGACCCTTGCCATATGGAAAAGTACCTTGTTTGGAGGGACATCATCAAAAACATGAGCTTGACCACCATAGAAAATAGTCATCTTCGTGTTGTTCGAATCAAGTCCCTGCTGACTGTCACGATAGATTTAAACACAATGCTTAAATTTTTCATAGAACAGTTGAAAAACGGAACTGTACAGAACGATACGTGATCGGTAATTTACCTTGGAGGATTAGAAGATTTGTATTCTAAACCTTCAGTCTTGGATTTCTGCTTGTCACAACTTAGCAACATTTGAGAAGAATGTCTCCCATCATTTCCAACATTAATGCTACTCAAAAGTCCAGGGCTTTTCATCCCAGTTCTAGATCCTTCATCAGCAGCAGATTGAGACACACTGGAAGGAGCAACATTAAATTCTCTGGAAGAGTTGGAACCTACTTGATGTACACGAGGCATCAACTGAATCCCGAGCGGAGAATTCTGTGCCGAGCTCGTGTTCAATGGAATAGGCCTCTCCCATTTGGTAACACTAGGATTAAATCTAGTGCCAAGAGAGTGTTGTGTGAGGGAATAAGAAGCAATTTTTGGAGGCTTCATACTGTAGTAAACTGCCTCGTTATCATTGTATCTCGGTCGATCTCCACCAGGTCCAGTTTGTAGTGACTGATACAAGTTAAGAGAAAATCAGATCAAATGATCCATTAAAATCCTTGTCACTTCCCTGGAATGTGATTAAAGAAAACTAAAAGCTGTCAAAACCTGCCTCGTTATCATTGTATCTCAGTCGATCTCCACCAGGTCCAGTTTGTAGCATCTGATACAAGTTAAAAGAAAATCAGATCAAATGATCCATTAAAATCCTTTTCACTTCCCTGGAATGTGATTAAAGGAAGCTAAAAGCTGTCAAAACCTTCATTGTATGTGACCTCTCAAGAGAGTCAGAAGGCACATGAGGAATTTGGTTTCTATATGATCCAACAAAACCAGGATCTGGATTACTGCGTTTAATCCCTGCTATCCAATTACTTTTTTCAGGTCCAGATTTCTCATTCCTTGGACTGCAGAAGGGAACCCCTTCAAGATAACCTCCCACCTGATTTTCTACCAAAAATGAAGAACAGTGTAAATGGTAAAGATTTCTCAGAACATGGAGTGTGAATCAAACCCATGTTTGAATTGAAATTGAAATACTGATGCAAGTTCTTCCCCTCTGAATCAGATAGATTCATATCTGAAAGAGGTTGACATTACATCCCATAAGAATTCAAATCCAGAATCAGACAGCTGAAACTTGGAAATAAAGCAAAAAACCAAAGAAATTAACAATGGAGAAAGGAAGATTGTAGAAAAAACTAAGTGTAGTTTCTGTTTCCGAAAAGCACTTAGTGTTTGAAAACTGAAGGAAAAAGAGAGTAGGGCTAAAGAGGCCTTTCAGAAAGCTTCAAACCAATCCACTAAACTTTACAGTGACATAAAGAGCAAAAGGAGACAGAAATTCTTCGTTGCAGAAAGAAAAGAAAAGTTCACACATGAAAATCAATATTTTGGAATCAAAACAATTTAACCAAAAACAAACGAATCATTCAAACAATCGAGAGGTCGATAATGATCGGAATATTCATCAAGCAAAAGGATAATCGCAAAGATTGGAAGTTATTCAGGCCACGACGAAATCGTTGAGACGAAAACCAGCAAGCGATAAATAACCTAGAACGAAGTAAATTGAAGACGATGAATGTTAACAGACTGACCAGAAGCAAGATCGGAAGCGGCGGAGAGGAGTCCACGGCCGCCGCTAGAAGAAGCCAAGGCCGACGACGGCGACGAAGCTTCCGATAAGGTTATATCCGGCGTCTTCGCGGCCGAGAGTACAGAAGCATCCTTGGTCCTAATGCCAAGAAAATCATGGAAGATCGCATTACCTAGTGGTTGAACCTGCCTCGTACTCTTCTTCTCGCCATTGCTGCAGTAGCCCGCATTGAAATGAGCCATTAGAGATGGAACCTCAAGAGTTGTCTCTTTACGAAAGCATCCATTTCACTCTGCATAAAGAGCAAGAGTGTAGAGAAAAACAAAAGACAAGCAACACGATTTTTGAAAAGAAACATACAGAAAAAAGAGGCCAAAAGAATCAGAAGAGAGAGAGAATCAGGCTCTTTTCTCGAGATAAAAGATTCTATAGAAAATTTCCGACGCCGACGCCGGTGAGGGATTCAGTTTCCTCCGTTCACCGGATCGGATTTGTTAAAATAATGGAAAAATTCACAGAATTCGTTGGTTCGTGGCCGTCAATTTGGTTGCGCGCGAACGAAAATCAAACCGGCCTCGAGCTCATGAAAATCAAAATCACATCGAGAAAGGAATTGTTGAGAGAAAAATCAATGATGAAAAATTTGATGGATGAGGAC